TTAAGTTCTAGTCCTGTATTGTAAATGAACCTCTCACAAAAGCAATGGTTAAAAAATCTGAAATATCTTTTATACTGTTTCCTCTATGTATTCTGACCTTTAGCTGTTAACAGGTAAGTAGTATATTCAGTAACATAGATAGAATTGAGTCATAATATTACCAGAATAAATCCGGGATGCTATAACAGTAAAGTTGTAGAATTGTGAAGTAAAGGTGTTTTATCGCCTCATCCTGTACCCAGCATTTTAATACAGGAGGTAGACTGCTCTCTCTCATGGTTTTCATGAAAGAAGGCTCTTTCTTTATTTTACTAATGACATTAGCCAAGTTATACTGTAGAATTACTTTATTCTTATAATACTTTATTCTATAATCATAATTCTTATAAATTTGTTTCTGGTAGCATTTGAACTTTTTTCATAATTTTATGCCATTTTCCTAAACATATTTAATTTTTTATCTTGTAAGGTTATTCTCATAATTCTCTAATTTCATTCTAATATCTACGGAGCCGCTAAAGGGACATGGAGGGAAAAAATAAAGTTTTGCGAGATCCTGCAATACTTTTGCGAGATCTTGCAAAACTATTGCGGTATCTTGCAAAAGTATTGCGGGATCTCACAAAAGTATTGTGAGATCTCGCAAAAGTATTGCGGGATCTCGCGAAAGTATTGCGAGATCTCACAAAAGTATTGCAGGATCTTGCAAAAGTATTAGGGGATCTCGCAAAAGCATTGCGAAATCTCGCAAAAAATAAACTTTTGCGAGATCCCACAATACTTTTGCGAGATCTCGCAAATCTATTGCGGGATCTCGCAAAAGTATTGCGAGATCCCGCAATAGTTTTGCAAGATCTCGCAAAAAATAAACTTTTGCGAGATCCCGCAATAGTTCTTTTTTTCCCCTCCATGTCCCTTTAGGGGCTCCGTAAATATCCTTATAACTTTACTCTCATAATTATTTTGACTTTATTCTTGTAATATATTCGATTATTTCTTGTAATGCTATTTCATAATTATAGGGCTTTAATCTTATTGGCCTAATATAATTACTTTGTTTTTTTTTTTGTTTTTTTTTATACATACACTTTATTAAGTTTATGTTTTACTTTTTTTCTGTGACGCTAATACTCTGACGTACTGATAGGGACCGAAATAAAACCTGGAAGATCAACATACTCCTACATGCTGAAGCGTTGAACTGACACCAAGCAAGTTTTAGATTTATTCAACAAATTATTAACTGGCCATAGGATCATTTAGTTGACCCAACTGTAATTTTTAAATGTGAAAAATTAGATTAAACAAAACTGGCCACTAATATTAAACAACAAGAAACTTTGTCTGTGTTGACACAGTACAAAATATTTAATCCCCTACTTTTAATCCCAATATAGATGTACTATTCAGAGAGGAAAAGCATTAAAAGAAACTCAAACTCATCAACAACAGGAAAGGCTTTTAGTTCTGCAAAATTCTCTTCATTCTCTCAGCTTTAGGCCCATTTTCATGTATTTCAATGTGCCAAAAATGTTAGCAGGAGAGGGAACGATGAAGAAAACAGCTTAAAGTTAGAAATGTTGTCTAATTTGGACAACATTTAGATGTTAGATGTCGCTTATTTAACTTTTTACAGCAGATTTAAGCAGCTTGCTTTAGTCTTACATTTACTTTAAGCAAACATCAGCTGTTTTATGATGAGAAAAGAAAATATGTGTCTGATCCAGAATGGAAATGCTAGAATAAAAAAGGTTTGAGAATCCGAAATATTTCCGGACACTTTCCTGCTCCACTGCTCAGCGCACCCATGTGTACTCTTAGAGCGAACAGGATGTGCGCCTTGCTCAAGGGGAATAACTGCATATTCCCTCACAAGCACAAATGCCAGGCAGGAACTTGGACTTGACCTGTCTTACTTCACAAACATGGCAGCTATGCTTCTTCCTCCAGGGAAAGGAACAAAAATATATCACGAGAAGAGGCCAAATTTAGGGGTTGGTGATGTCAGAACATCTGCTTTCAGGGAGACTGTAAAAAGGTCTGACAGGTAGGCCGTGATGATCTGAGGTCATGAACTCCAGCTGGGAGAGCTGTGCTGTTCCATTAGTGTCTCAGCAGGGACAGGTTGGAGACAGAGTCCAGGGGAGGGCTCGTGCAGCTTTCAGCCAATCGATATTGATATTTCCATGAGGGACCGTCGAGCCAAAGGAGAGCTAATCTGTGAAAACAAACATGCATGTTGCTGCTGACAGCCTCCACCCAGCTTCATCAGTCCAAAGTTATTTAGTCATCAACGAAGAAAAAAAATTCCTCGGCCGTATTCACAACTGCTTGAAATCACCAGGTTTTTCCCTTGATAGTTTTTAATGAGTGAAAATTGGGCTTAGTTTGATTTTTCGGAACAAAAATGCAAAGAGACAAACGAAAAAAAAAAGCATTAAAATGTTTGCATTTTGTCTGTTTTGTGTGATGAAAAGTACGACATTCAAAACAAGGTGCTCCACTTCCCCGTTACAGGAAAAGCAAACAGAGGCTGGCCGAGCTCAGCGCTCAAGTCCCTCGACTTATTTATTCACACGTCTGTTTGTTTATGGAGGCAGAAGGGAAAGCTTTCTTCATCTCCTCAGAAGGACGCACAAAAGTGCCAACATAGACCAACAGGAACAGAGTGAGGTCTGTCCCAAAATGGACGCTGAAGAAATTGAAGGCGACAAACACAAGACTGGTTATGGTGGGAGTCGAAGTGCCCCCCCTCCATCTACACCTTCTCTGTTTGCAAAGCCCATCAAACATATCTCAAGATGGAGCAGATTTTACGTGGCTCGGGTTTCATGTAGTTTGATTGAGAGATGATAGGGAGAGGACTTTGTAGGTCATGTCACAGGTCATGACCAGCGTGTTGTGACAAACTTTTCAAACAAAAGAAAAAGGCGATTCTTTTCTGCAGCTGGGATTAATGATACATTTGTTTTTGGGCTTTAAAATAAAACACGATGGAGACAATCAACAGGGCTCCTTCAATATAAAAATCTATTCCTTTCCAGAATCATTTTTCTAGATTTCATATCATAGAAACAGTCAAAACCCTTATTTTATAGAATTTAAAAAACTGAATTAAGTTTAAGAACCTTGAATACAGTTTTGAAAAAACAAAAAACAAAATGATCTGGATGAAAAGTTGTGAATTTTCCCTTTTCTCACTGGAAAAAAATCAAAATCTAGATAGGGCGTTTTTTTCTTAAAATAAGTGCATTTGTTCTTGGATTAAGGAAGTAAAGGTGACATCTTGCCAATGGAACATGACAAATTACACTTTAAATTAGAAAACACAATTGCATTGTCTTATTTTAAGTGCATATTATCTAATTATCTTATTTCAAGAGTAAAAATTTCCATTCCATTGGCAAACTATCTCATTTACCTACTCAAATTAAGGGTAAATACACTTAATTTAAGAAACTTTTACTTATTTCTAGATTGTTTTTAGTCTTTATTTAAACTTTATCTCAAAATAAATTGGGGGAAAAAAATCTAAAAGGTTTACAAAAATGCTAATTATAGCTTATCATTTAGAAATAAGTCATTGTAATTAGCATTTTAAATAACATTTTTGTTTTTCATAGCCTACTATAGTATATTCTGGTATTTTATACTTTCACAGACGTTTAGGAAAATAAGAGAACTGTGGGATGTAAGTTAAATGTTACTTCCACTTTCTGGGTAAGTTGTAGATAAACATTCCTTTGAATCTAAAGTAAGACAGTTTTTAGAGCATGTAAAAGAAAGAAACACTGATTTTTAGAAGTAATCAAAATAGCAGGATGACAGGTTAAATTATGCTCCAATAGTCATACAGTTAAATGTGTTTGCTCCATATTAAATAATTACAGCAAGAATCAAATATCACTTGCATACCCCTTACAAATGGACCCCCCTGCCCCTCAGTGAGGTCTAGAAGCACAAGATCTATATCCAGCCATTCAGCAAAGATGCTGCTACATGGCTGCACATCTTATTTTGGCATTTGACCAATTAGATGAACCCTTGTATTATACATTATCTACTGTAAATTAGGTTGAATAAAAAGTCAACAAGTCAAGAAAAAAAGGTAAAAATCTAATTGAAAAGTTAAAAACAACAGTTAACAATTATATTTAGGTTCATAAACTAAAAAAAGTAAGTGCCAGTATCAGCATTAATGCCTCTAAGGTTATGTTGGACCAAAGAAAAAAAGTGTTTCTTTCACTCTCAGAGTGTTTTTCTTCGGGCAAGTTGGCGTTTCTTGTTAACCTGACTCCGCCAGATGGATTTGCTCCGCATATCCATCAGGAAACCTTCTGTTAAAGTAGTTTTGGGAAGGGGCGAAAATACTGGTTAGCTGATTGGCCTATGTTGGTGATAGACGGGCCAAATAAACCAATCAGATCAACGAAGCATATGACGTACTAACAGAGCGACGACGAAGAGGAGCCAATTGATAGATCAAACTCTTGCCGAAAACAGTCGGGTGAAGAGCAAAAACATCTTTTCCTCTGAGAAAAGCCTCCAGAGCAGTGTTTTGCTCTTCTTTCAGTGAAGAAATACTCTGTAATTCCGATAAAACTTGGTGGATAGCTACGCTAACGCTAGTTTCATCGGCTGAAGCCGCCATGTTCTTTAGACTGAACTGTGGCGCTTCTCGTTGCGTCACACCTCAACCCGCCTCAAAGCCAACGCTGATTGGACGTTCGTTTGGTGAACGGATCCAAATTTTCTTTAACGGAGAGTCTCCAGACTGATATGCGAGTGAAACCTTGAAAGCTCGCGAGATCAGGATGGTCTCACGAGGCCAGTTTCTTGTTATTACACTGATATTAATTTTTGCCATCAAAATCTTCATATTTTTTTAATGTCACATAGCTCATAAGGTAAAAAGTATTTCACTGAGTGCGCTATAAAGGTTTAAATCTGTTGATTATAAAGTCTTAATATTCTTGTTCCATCTTATCCCCCACATATAGGAAAAGACAACAGCGGCCTGACAGAGTCTGAGCTTCCATCAAGTGTTGATCCTCCTGGGATGGAAGGCAGCTACCTGAACCTAAAGGAGCCAGGTGTGAAGGGGCCTAGTGAGCGACCGGGGTCCGATCTCTCCAGTCCGTTAGAGAAAAGTGAGGCAGAGAGCAACAAAGGCAAGAAGAGACGCAACCGCACAACATTCACCAGCTACCAGCTTGAAGAGCTTGAAAAGGTTTTTCAGAAGACTCACTACCCTGATGTTTACGCTCGCGAGCAACTGGCGCTGAGGACGGACCTCACCGAGGCTCGGGTTCAGGTGAGGGTAACAGAGTGAAGACATTATTGTTCGTTTTTAAAAAGAAACTCAAAAGCCTACATTGGTATCACTTCACTGTACCAAACATAAACCTCCAGAACTTTATGGACCTAGCTTTGCACTTTACCGACCTTCCATCTACTATGCAGGTGAAGATTCCCAGTCATCCAGGTTTTAGTCTTTCTAAAAAAGTTAAAAAACATTCCATTGGACTTTGTTTCCCAGTTTGAAGACGTTTCTCTTCCCATCCAAAAAGCTTTTTCAATTCAAAATGTCAGAAATAGTGCTGAGTTGGAGGCTTTATACAATAGCTGTGTATATGTATAAAACCTGGAACTCAACGCTATTTCTGACATTTTGATTTGAAAAAGCTTTTTGGATGGGAAGAGAAGCGTCTTCAAACTGGGAAACAAAGTCCAGTGGAATGTTTTTTTCTTTAAATACTAAAAACCAAATTTACTAATACTACTATACCTTAAATGGCTTGAAACTCAGCTGTTGCCTCAGAGAATCTAACCAGGTAAATATCCAGATTTTACCAGGTACTTTCCTGTAACTTACCAGGTTCTTCTTAGAACTAACAGCTTTTATTTTGAAACTTTCATAGAACTTATCAGTTAACCATTAAGTTCATTCAATGTTTCTGACAGCAACTGCTCATTTTTTGCAAAGCATGCCTTAAGTTAAAAGGCAGTAATCAGCAACTTTAACCTCCAAAAGTTCCAGGAAAGATGCACTTTCTAGAAGGTTCCAAAAATCCATCTTTATTGTATTTAAATGCGCATTTATTATTATTATTACGAACAAAATCAAACAATGGTTGATTTCTTTAGAAACCTTTTAAAATGGGAACTTTTACAAAATAAAAACAACATACCATTTAAGTTGGATAGATTTTTTTGTTTTTGTTTTTGCAAAAAAAATGCCAAGGCTACAAAAATAGATAAACTAAAAAAAATAGAATAAACAAGGCACGAAAAGGTCCTGTTCTCACTTAGATTGAGATCTATTACAGCTCCATATCTTCCTGACAGTTTACCTGATGGGTGCCAGTAATTATACAGGCTCTTGAACCCTCTATAACTTTCATCGTTAGCTTTAAAAGTTGTAAAAGTTATGGGGGTTTTACATAAAAATAAAGACAAACCAAATAGTTTTACTGTCAAAGCCTAATTCGTTTTAAATAGAAATACTAAACAAGAAATGAGTCAGAGTTAAAAATTCACTGACATCATGCAGGGCTCCAGAGCTTTAGATGAAGGTCCAGTGATGAAAACAAGCACCAGACCAGCAAACCTAAAAAAGGAACCCTTTGCTAATTGAGTAGGATTGTTTGACGTAGGAGGAAGAATGTTGGGAGAAAAATGTAAGCTAATATACAGAATGCTGCAAGGATAAAACTCAGTGAAACCTCTCATGATGTAAAAGGACACTTGTTATTGCTTGCATGCTAATAATCCGAATGGAACCGATAGATAAAGCTATGAGAGTCAGCAAAGATTGTTCTGATCAGCGGAAAAGCAAGTTTGTTTTTCCTCCCTGCTAGTTTCAGATCAGAGTTTAGGGTTTATGGGATGGAGAAATGCTCATTGCCTTTACACGGGCCAGACTTCAAATGAGGGTCAGAGGCCAAGGGTTTCTCTGCAGTGACTACCATGTTCAAACCACCTCAGTGCACCGCTCTGGAGGCATGGAAGGGAAACACATGGAAAGTCATTGAAGCTATTTGGCATGGATATAAAAGACACTCTGAGATGCCAGTTTCAATTTCCACGCAGGGCCTGAGACATAGTCAGGGACAGAGGAACCTGGCCTGGTCCTCGTGGTGGTACAGTAAAATAAGCACATTCATGTAGCGTTCACATGGGCTTGTCCATTCCCCACATGAATATGATTACGTTTTTCATCTTACCAGCGCACAGCAGAGTCACTGTGAGGTTTGACCCAAACATCTAACATCGGGCTCCAGATATGCGTGCAATCAAGACTAAACCCCCAAATTTCAACTGAAGGTCCATGGAGACAAAGTCCAGGGATATCCAATTGTTGAGGACTGTGGCGCACTTGGAGCTTGCCAGGCAATTGGAGAAACCGTTTCATCTCCTGCAGAACAGCGATTGAAATGCACACTACAGATGTTCTCTGCCTAAACACCGCCATTAGAGGCCTTCAGCTTCATCCTCAGTTTGGTGATGAATGTCTTCATAAAGTCTGGCTGCAGCTTTCTGTAATCACTCATGTGACTTCTGCTGCCACCAGTTTGGTACAATTAGCTCTGAGGCACAGTCTCGGACTTCACCCCGCTGCCCGAATTTAATGGAGGAGGGGGCTGCGTGTGTGAGTAAGTGAGCGAGGCACTCCATCAATTGCAGCGGACCTGGATGACAGAGATGAGGTGAGACGGCTGGACTTCAAAGCTGTTTTTGTAGCTTGAGACTCTGCCCTCCCTCTCTCCTTCTTCCTCTCTCTCTTTCTCTGCCTGCTGGCTCCGGAGCATAAATAAAGCTCTATAATGGCTCTGTAAGCTGCATTTTGCTGTCAGCGTCTTTAGCAATTACTGTATCGCTGCCAAGCATTTTGAGCTCCAAGAGTACTGAACCACCTTACTTGCAGATGTCTGCTAAATAATACAAACAAAAGTAGCAAGAGTTGGCAGCCAGTGAACTTTATTCTCTTGGGTATGTTGTTAGGGACAAGGGGCACTGAAGGTCATGATGGGAACTGATTAAACTATTATATATAAATTAAAAAAACTTCATGCGGTGAAAGTCACTCCATCAGAAAACTCTATTAGCATAACTATGTTTAGTAGTTTAAAATACCCTTACGGCTAAAGCTATGAACTAACTTAAGAGGGACAAGACTAAAACCAGACTTCTGTTATGTTTGAATGCCTCTGAACTCCAAAAAGTCGTAGTAGTGCTGCAGTTATACTTGCCTTTAAACCAGATTTAAGGTTTATTAAATATAATATAAAAATAAAAATAAACTTTTTCATCAGTCAGACTCTTATTTCAATAATTGAACTTAATTAATCTCACATTGGAGAAATTTTCCTCTGCATTTAACCCATCCTCTCGGGGAGCAGTGGGCTGCCATCGTGCGGCGCCTGGGGAGCAGCGTGGGGTTAAGGGTCTTGTTCAGAGACCCATAGTGGCAGTCTGTTAACCTGACTCCGCCAGATGGATTTGCTCCGCATATCCATCTGGAAACCTTTGGTTGAAGTAATTTTTGGAAGGGGCGAAAATACTGGTTAGCTGATTGGCCTATGTTGGTGATAGACGGGCCAAATAAACCAATCAGATCAACGAAGCATATGACGTACTAACAGAGCGACGACGAAGAGGAGCCAATTGATAGATCAAACTCTTGCCGAAACCAGTCGGGAGAAGAGCAAAAACATCTTTTCCTCTGAGAAAAGCCTCCAGAGCAGTGTTTTGCTCTTCTTTCAGTAAAGAAATACTCTGTAATTCCGATAAAACTTGCTCGATAGCCACGCTAACGCTAGTTTCATCGGCTGAAGCCGCCATGTTCTTTAGACTGAACTGTCGCGCTTCTCGTTGCGTCACACCTCAACCCGCCTCAAAGCCAACGCTGATTGGACGTTCGTTTTGTGAACGGCTCCAAATTTTCTTTAACGGAGAGTCTCCAGACTGATCTGCGAGTGAAACCTTGAAAGCTTGCGAGATCAAGATGGTCTCACGAGGTTAAGTGGTTAGGGCATAGAGCTTGGAATCCTGAGGTTCTGAGATCGAGCCCCACACCCACAGACTGCCACTCTGGGTCCCTGAGCAAGACCCTTAACTCCACACTGCTCCCCAGGCGCCACACAATGGCAGCCCACTGCTCCCCAAGGGGATGGGTTACATGCAGAGAGTTAATTTTGTTGCTATGTACTTGTGACAATGTAATGACAATAAAACACTGTGTTCAGCTCTCTATGGGGGGCAGATAAAAATATCTGGATATCTTTTTACCTTTTTCTGGATTTTATATATTAATGAACAAGTGAATATGACTGTTTTAAATTCATTTAGAAGTATTTATTGGGCATAAACAATGAGGAAGTAAAGTTTTCTATGTTTCAGTGAAGAAATACTCTGTAATTCCGATAAAACTTGCTCGATAGCCACGCTAACGCTAGTTTCATCGGCTGAAGCCGCCATGTTCTTTAGACTGAACTGTCGCGCTTCTCGTTGCGTCACACCTCAACCCGCCTCAAAGCCAACGCTGATTGGACGTTCGTTTGGTGAACGGCTGCAAATTTTCTTTAACGGAGAGTCTCCAGACTGATTAGAGAGTGAAACCTTGAAAGCTCGCGAGATCAGGATGGTCTCACGAGGCTAGCAGTCTGTGGGAGTGGGGCTCAAACTCAGAACCTGAGGATTCTATGCTCTATGCCCAAACCAAGCCGCTACTCCCCCAACCTGCTTTTATTAGACAAAGATAACCTAAAACACCGTTTCCAAATTATAATTTTATTTAATAAAAGGGGAAAGAAAATACCAACTAACAGTGTTCTTACTATGGTTGCACTAGCCTCATCTAAACCTGTACAATAACAGATCACTTAGGTAGAAAATGTCAGAAAGCAACTCATCCCCATAACCAAGGAAATCTAGCAACATATAAAAATCCTACCTGTAGAAAACTTCCAGACTTTAAAGGTTTACATAGTCCTGGCTAAAGCTTTGAGGCTTCACTTAACCACTCTGGTTAAATGGAGACTCTTGGAGGTTCCTTCTATTGGTCGAGTCATTAAAATTACTGCAAGAACCTACTGATATTTCTCCAGGAGCAAACAAAAGAACTTAAAAAAAAAAAAAAATTCTGCACTAAAGACCCCAATTCTTCTCGGTCAGAAAAGCAAAAAGTCCAGCAATTAGTTTATGAGTTTAAGCACAGTTGGAGCTGCTTTATGCAGCAGGTCAATAATCCGAAGCACACTGACAAAGTCACCTCTGAAAGAAAAAAACATTCTTATGGCAAGTACTTTTCTC